AACAGCGGGACTAATTTTCATATACATACTATATATGTATAAGGGGCAAGGCAGATGGATATTGCTAAATCAAATCAAGGTGTAGTTATTAAAGTCTAGATAACAATCAAACAGATTTTGTAGAACCCTCTCTCTCAGATAATTGCCGCTGTCAAAGTTCTCTTTTTTGCGATATTCTGCGTTTCTGTCACTGAACTGAGTTAAATAAAATTAACCTGGCAAGCAATGGCTGATCTAGATGGATGCGGATAAAACAYTGAACACTATTTTCTTACAAAAGTCCCTTACTTCTCCGCAGGACTACTGAAATCTTTATTTGTTTATTTATTTAAAAGAGAACTAATTATAAATAATTAATCTACTTGTAAGAATCAGCACTGCCTGCCAGGGCCTTCGGCAGTACTGAGATCTTAATTGCATACAAATTTAAAAGAAGGTAAGAAGGTATAGACCAAACTTACCTTAAAGTTGTGGATAGCGGCAATATTTTGAATCGCTTGGACGAYTGGTGAGCTGCAAGATAGGAAATTATATTTGTATTACTTTGTGCTAAAATAATAAGAAGGTGATGGTTTTTTATACGTTTTTAATATCACTTATGAACAAACAGAATTTGCATGAAAATGATTTGAAAATAATATGATTAGAAAAACAATGCTRTTTTTATTTTTGCACCCACTTGTAMATATAAACAASAAGATATATTCATATATTTTACAATAAACACCAATAAGCACCAAAGTGTCTGCCCAAATTTTGTCACGCTTGAATGAGTTAAGCGAACTTTCAAGGCGATACGAAAATTTGTAAACCCACAAATGTTTTTGATGCCTAATGCGTTATTTGTRTGTAAAACTCATAAAGTTTAGACGTTAGAAGCTATAAAAACATCGCGTTATAACTGTAAAGGCTTTGTCACGTCATCAGCGCTTAACACTTTAATAATTTTTTGCCAGGAAATCAGTTTAAGCAGATAATGGAAAAAATTTGTTTGACACTGAAAAAACGAAAAAAATCATTTCACACCCGGCATATTAACAAAACAAAAGCTTCCCCTGAAGTTACCTTGTGTCTTCCATATAACATCAAATCGTAACGCTAAGGTAACCTGGTAACTGGAGAGGCACGGTTCCTACTGHACTTACWTAGAGCCAGCCGGCACCCAGCATCTCCTGAAGTGACGCTAAGATCACCTAAGCATTTGGGAGTTACGGTGCCTACTTTACTTATATAGAACCAATTCCTTCTGAAGTCACCTTGTGACTTCCAATTCACATCACACCGAGGCGCGATAGTCACCTTAGCACTGGCCAGGCACGGTGCCTAATTTACTTGTATAGAGTCAGCTGCAAATATAAAAATTTCCTTTTCATTACAAGTATTCTTCCTACTCAWCACATATTTCAACTTTTATCCTAACACACAATAGAAATGTCAACACTTAAGCGCTGAAATCACTTTCTCAAGCCAACTGTTAAAGCAAGCGCCATTTTCCTTCCATAATTCCACCTTATCGTATACTCTACCTCATCTTTCATTATTCACCAGCACTACGCCGACGCAATTTTTGCTGCAAATTCACTTTTCCTTTCGCAACCTTCCAGCAGCACTCCGCCCCCTTGGCATTGTTAATAATTACTCATTTGCTTGTTTAGCACTGAAAAGTTGTAATCCTTTCGCAAGTGCTCGTTTCTGAAGTATTAGTGCGCACTTTGAAGGACATTCGGCGAGGCAATTTYGAGCAAGGATTTTATTCTTRCAAGAAACAAAAACAAAAAAGCARAAATCACGAAAACAGCGGGTTTTCGTTTTGCTGCTTAGTTAGTTGATTWTCGCAATAATAATAATAATTATGAAAGCTGCTATTATATAAGTTATTTATTTTCCGTTAATTACTGTCAAGAGTTTTGTTTGAGTATTAATTTTGGAAAATGCAAACAATAGTGGAGGCGGGGTGCACAGCCTTGGACTTGTTGGCGCGCAATTAAGACTTTTTGTGTGTGTGCGTTGTAATTATAAATGAGCGTGTTAGCRTAGTGAAAGCTTCTCAGGTTGCTTAAATATTGAGTGGTAATAGTGATTTGATGGGTAGATAAATAAATAACGCAATTGATGACTTGAAACACTGAGATATCGGAATTGTGCGCGGAAAAGTTCGAAAGTGAGGATGGGTGTTTGCTTAGACTGTTTCGCATAAAGCTATACCACGAAATTTGCTTTGGAAATTTCACTTCGAAATATCCGACATTCTTTCATTTCTCAGCTGGTGACAAACAAATGTGGATAACCTAAGTCAGCCTAGAATATTTCATCTAAAAGTGTACTACGAATCTGTGCGCTTATAAAATATGCCGCCAAGTACTATGCAACGAATGGGTCCAGAATATTTCTTTTAAAACTGTGCTTCGAGCCTGTTATTTGTAAGTCAAAACAAAAAAAAAAAAAATCGGATGTATTTAAAAAAAAATTAAGAAAATTTTAATGATGCAAGTATTCTAAACAAAGCGCCTAAGGATATGCTTCGTTTTTAACAATATTTTCTAAGCGAGTGGCAAAAAACAAAAAAAAAAAAAAAATCAATTCAAGAAATATTCGATAAGCTTGCCTCCGTGAAACATATCTTTAAATATTGTATAATAGTAACGACTTTGGAACATATAACAATAGTCAAGTGTGCCTACTGAAGACTAAGCTGACCAACATGCTAATACGATTGCATGGCACTTAGAGCTTAGACTTCTCGATGTATTTCCTATATAATCTAAGTTACAAATACAGTTATATAAGTCCGTTGGTACATAGTCGTAAGTAAGTAAGTTTATCTAGCAAACGGGCCGGCCAAATTTCGCCTTCAACGCCAAAGCGATAACACACATTAACGGTTGCCAAAATGTTTGTTTGCCGGRACTTAACGACACAACAGTTCATAGTTCATAGTCGAGCACATACACATTTAAATATTGAATGGCAATCCATTGCAARTGGATGCCAATATAAGTTCATATGAGTAGCCGAGGCGACTTGGAATAAAAACTTCTAAAATTTTTATTCTAAAATTTTTATTCCAAGTCGCCTCTTGTTCTTAGGAACACTTGCGAACGCAGCTTCCAACTTGCTTATGCCGAAGCTAATGACTTTCTTTAGGCATTGTATTTTTGAGCGCTAAGCTTAACTTTTAAAAGAGTTAAGAAAGCTTCTGTGTTTTGTAGCAGCTCATTACTTCAAGCATCTAAGAAGCAGGTCTGGGTCTACACTCTCTACGTTGAGAGATGCCTATGGTTAAATAAAGCCTAATAGTAAAATCTTCATCCTGGAGAACATGTTTCGCAAATTTATAAACTACCTACAGAGGCTCATATAATTTCTACTTTTAAGATTCATATATTCCCTACAAGGTTCATGTACTCCCTTCTGTGTATTTTTGTATGTTTGCCAACGCCATTTTAGTCATTTAAATCTCAGCTGAGCAACGCCATTTTTGTTTACCACACAGCTTGATGCAACTTATATTCATTTCACTTTCTTTACTCTTCCTCACTTACAGCCATGCTACCACACTTCTGCTGTAGTTTTTGTGTTGTCATCACACAWCTATTTGGCAGCTTTTCGCTTTAATCCCTACTGCCTTTAACGCTGGCTGWGTGTGTGTGCAAGCTGATGCTGCAAACTATTGCACTCGAAATGGCGGACGTAAAAGTAGGTCAAAATGTTTATGAATTGTGGGCGGCGAACATCAYACAATCGACATATTCGACATTTTAAACCTGCTTGGCGCACTCAGTGGGTCTTACTTAGACGCTAGTGGYGCTGAGTTTGCCAAGTAAGCGGAGCGCTAGTTACAATGCATGCGGAAGTGCGCACARTTGTTGGGCAATGAGTGGGTCGTTTTGCTAGAATGACGGTGGAAATCGATATAAAAAGCGCTAAGAAAACAGTGAAAGCAACGCAAACACACAAACAACAATTATAATAAAAGGAATAACAAACAATTGGTTATCGAGCATACAAGAAATCAAAGATGTGCGCTTCTTAAGCAAGCCGTTGTGGCACAGTTTTCCGCAAAAGTTTACTTATCGAACAAAAGATTTCYTTAGCTTGTCTGTTATCGCACAATAAAGCAATTAGTGCCAAGGCGCTTCAGCGGTGGGGCTGACAGTGATGCGGCGCGGGMGAGGTGAACAGCTGAAGAACGAGCGAAGCGAAATGTGTTGGTAACCTTAAGTTCAAAGCGCGCTTTCACGGCCTTTCACTGAGGCGAGTGTGCGGGCGTTTGCGGATACGTTGCAAACCACATTGGGACAGCGCCGAGGTAACCACAATTGCAGTTGGTTAAACTTTCTGACAAGTCTGATTTCTATTGCTTAATGCCCTGCCACATAGCAGGTGCGCATTTGGCAGATTGTGGCAGGCGCAACTTTCTCAATTCTGGTGCGGTAAATTTTCGTGTGCGCTGCCAATGAATGTAGCAAATGGTGGGAGAACGCGCTTTTCCAAACACAAAAATTTAATTTTAATAGAGGTCATACTGAAGTGAAAATATTTAGTGGAGGTAGCATTTACGAAAAAATCAAATATGACAATAATACTACCTAAGCTGCATAAAGTTCCAGCTATTGACGCAATATCTTCTACGTACACACAAGTCAAATTTGCTCATATACCAAGCAATATATATACTTTATTTTTTATAAACTTGTTGAGAATTCAAGACTACTGTTTTGACTGAACGAAAAAATTATAAAATCATATATTATATYATTAAAAAGTCTAATTTGTTAGTGTTTCACTTACATCTACATTTCTTACGCTTGTATACTTAATTCAACTTTCCCTACTTCTTTKTTACATTGGAAATGGGTCAGTGGGAGACAACGGTATTAGCGCAAAGTGCCAACTAAAGTGCTTTGATGTTAATGTCAATAGCTGTAAGCGATGCTTGACCAGAAAATGTAAACACAAGTAAGACATTCAAAACCAGAATCAAGGAAACAAATATGCGACAAGCAAAGAGATGAAAGGACATCATAAAGCAATTGAGTTTTAACAAAATGGCGCAGAAGAGRGCATCAGTTAGCTAAAAGAGAAGTGCCAAAAGAGTGTAAAGAATATAAAGTTGCAATATGATAAAAGCTYACTTCAGTATTTTGAATCTAAGAACATTTAAAAAGGACATGATTTAGAGAAAATAGTACGAATTTAGGTTGATATATAATTTGAGGTTAAGCTGTGGAAAAGGATTTATAAAAGGAGGTATTAACAAAACTTTTTTAACCCCAACTACCCAAAACTTGTTCTTATATAGCAATCGAGCTTGAAATCAGTCRCCTAGCAATTCTTAAGGAAGTCTTCTAATCTACTTTGCCGCCTCCCCGCGTCTACAGCCATTATTATGTAGCAATGTAACAGCATCATATTTGTATCTTTAACCTTTCTTCTTTTACAATTATGAAAGCGACTAAAAGACGTTTACAAAAGCAAAAGCAAAACTCATTTATAACTTAAAGCATAAAAGC